AGCAAGACCATGTCGTATTATAGATAAATAATCACTATATGGAAACATATCTTCATATTCAATTAATAAACCCGTAGCACCAAGTTGTCTCAGAAATGGAAATAAATCTGTAAAATAATCTATTTTTGGTGCAGCACCTTTTAAATCTAAATGAACAAAACGTTCAAGATTTTTTGCATCAATAACAGGATGTCTAATTGGTTGAATAGGATTATATTCTTGTAAATGTCTTTGATTATTATAGAAATTTACAATTGGAGCTTGATAAGCCATTAGATTAGCCATAGCATTTCCATTTTGTAATTGTTTATCAGTATGAATATCTAATGGTTGACTCTGACTTGTATAACGTTTTGATCGAGACGGATGTACATTATCGATATTTTGTAAGAAATGAGAATGTTGTTGATGTGATAACTGTTCAGTAAATACAATATCACGATTTTGATGAATAACAAATAAACTTAATAAAATGATAGGTAAACAAATACCAATCATAAGATTACGACGTAAATTACGGCGAGCAAACATAGTAGTTGATTTTTTTTTGTAAATATTTTATAAGAATAAATGACAATTGAATATGATTAACTAAAATAAAACAAAAAAAAGATTATTATAATAAATTATTTAATACTACAAATAGAATTTTTCCTTCGAACATATACTAATGAATTTTTTTATTAGATATAGAACAGAACATGTCATTCTATAGGATAGTAAAGTAGTATAAACGTCATTCTAAATATCGCCTTCGTAACGATATTAATCATATCGTATATAGAAAATTATGGAGTATAGATTTCTTCTTCTTCTTTTTTTGCCTTTCATGAATGATATAAAAATGATTAGTTTATTAAAAGTACCCTAAAAATTTTCTTATCATAACATAAAACGCCATCGATGTGTGTTTGATAGTACACAAGAGGAATATGAGACAGTACCTTTTTTTCTTTTTGTATCTTGTATTATCCTTTTTCCTCTTTCTCCTTTTTCTCTTTTTCTATTTTCTCGTTCTAGACTCGATACTACATGAAAGTTGTTGCATAGTCGTTTGTCATAAGTCAAAAGTAAATAGATACATATTCTATTTACAGCCTACACCATTAGTAATCGCTTCGTTTTTTTTTTCATCTTGCACATGGATATTTCTTTTGTGACATAATCATCATCATCCCAATTGATATTTGTTTTTGTCATATAACGATTGAACTGATTTTTTTCTGATTAAAGAATAAAAGAACGATTGACTATACTGTAATACTCTTCTTTTTCTCTTTTGTGTATATTTATATATATTTGGGCATCCTCATACTATCTCATCAATCTTTTCTTCGCTAGTGCACTTACAACGATAATGGAATGTAAGTTCGAAAAATCGTGTTTCAGTAGATTAAATTAATATCAACAAGATTACAAATTAGATATGAAAAATCATTCAAAATCAACTTACTTATTGTTTTTGTTATTGTTAGTAAAAGAACATTATAACATTTAATCAAAGAAGAAAAATAAACTCTGGTGTAAAAAAAAGAACATTATTTATATAATATATTATATAAGTTCTTTCTTTTCTCTCTTTCGACAAGGATAAAAGAGAAAAAGGACAGATAAGCAAGTGTCGGTCAGTTAACAAGTCATGTAATCATAACTAACTTTGCGTATGAAAGAAATGAAGAATCTCTAAAGAATATTTTTATTCAACATACAAGTGTATTATTCAATGATTTTTAAGAAAAAAAGAGATATTTTATAGTTTTAAGTAACTATTTCATTCATTTTTTTTTGTTTAATTAAGAAGTTAGTTTTTATCTTTAAAAATAAAAAAGATCTCTATAAGAAAAAACAAAATAAAATACATAAGAAACAAGTCTCTTGAGAGTTGCGATTACATGATTATAGATGAGTATTAAATGCATAGAATAATGATTGACAAGTACAATGAATAATTCTGACATAATTGAACATTTTTTTTATCATGTATTAATTATATTGATAAACATATACAATTATATATTAAAATGATGTGATGTTCAATGTCTTCAATGAAAAATTTCTTCAAAATAATGTGGAAATTACTGAGATTGTGTATACTATTTGCAACAGAAAACTAACAATATACAAAAAAAACAGGAATTTTTTTTCTGATCTCGAGTTATTCTATATTGCGACGTGACCTGTCAAATAGCGAATGACTGTAAAGAATAAAAAATCATATTAATATCTGATTATCAATTGAATTCTCTCGTTGATATTTTCAGTCAAGAATTGCAATATTAATAGATTATTATAAAAACATCTGATGTTTGTTTATTTCATGTATTGATCAGATATAAGTCTGCAACTTGTGATAGATAATCTGTAAAAAACAAACCAAACAATTGTTCTTGCCATATGTTTAGAAAACTGATATTTGTCATGTACTTGGTAAATTAATACTTATCTATTAAATCTTTTAGTTGTTTTTTCTTAGTAGTAATCTGTAATTTAAAATATAAAAACTCTCGCATTACTTTTTTGTTTTGAGTCATAGAGTAAAATTATGCAATATTAATTTATTTTCATTATATGTCCGTTTAGTATAAGTCGAATATAGAATATTCAGAAAACTTGTATTTTATCAGATTTTGCAAGGTTTTTTTCGCTAATTATTATATTAATAAAATTTGTTTAGATCTCAATGAAAAATAATCGATTATATTGCTATTTCTGATATTTTGACTTACGAAAATGATAGTACGTTAATCTATTTCCAAAAGATGTATCACTCAAAGGGCTTTACAAAAAATATACATACACAATAGTTTGCAAAAAAAACTTGATCTCATAATGTCATCTATAAAATGACATTCGGGATTGGGATACTTCATTATATATCATAAGTTTTCTATCGATCAATAACAATATTTACGTTGAATTGTATAATTAAGATGTCTTCATATTCTTAAACAAAAAGTTCGTAAGAAATTACTTTCAAACGACTGAATTATTCTTTTAGTATGAAAACGCTTATACTTGAAAGATGTCGTATTATCAGTTGAACTAGTTTTTTTATTCGATAACCCAGATTTTTTCCTTATTTGCATTGACAAAATAATACTTGACGAATACTGGTTTTTATTAACGCTCACAAACAAGTAAATTGTTTGAATATAATCTCGAAATTTCTTTGAAAATTTTTTAAGCGCGTTATTATTGTAATAATCGCGTTTGCACACGATCCTTGATGAAAAATACTTAAAAATGCTCTTAGGCCAATTAGAAAGTTCATTTAGGCGTAATACATTTTTATGTCATTTTTGAAATTGCTCATGATTTTATACTAACAGTACATCAATGATACTCAGTGAAGTAGCGTATTTCAATACACTTTATGTACATAGTTACAGTATGGTGATGATTATGATTAAAAAGTTAACAAACATCTTATTTCAGAGTAAAATATTACTTAATAATCAAAGACCTAAAATGACTAAGATATGATGATAAAAAGAATTTTTGATATATCACTGAGTGCCACATCAATCAATTAAAATACAATTAGGAAAAGGATGTGCTTTTGTATAAGCTTTCATATAGTTAGATATTTCATTCAATATCGTAAAATGTCGTATTTTAAAGCTAAATACATTGTTGAAGAATAAAATATTGATATACTGCAATGATATTTATTGTTATTCCTTATAATTCTAAACTCAACATGTTTCTTGTTCATTCATCTTCTTCTTTTGTAGTAATCCTTCTATGGTAAACGATACAGCTGAAGCAACGCACAACATTATCTACTGGAATAGCTTGACAACACTTTTCTCACGTTATGTGGGCATGAGTTTTTATGGATTTGGACTTGTCGCTGGACTACTTAACACTTATGTGTTTTTACAATCATCGCTTCATTCAAATCCATGCTGTTTGTTATTATTAGCTCTCAATATTGTTGATATTTTGCATATTCATAATAGTCTTCTCATTCGCGTTCTTCAAGTTGGTTTCCATTGGGATTCGATCGTCATTTTTCCAATCATGTGCCAACTACGATACTATATTGGCTATGTACTTATTACACTCTATATGATACTTCTTATATTTGCATCCAGTGAACGATATGCATCGACATGCAACCAATAGAGTCAGTAGCGTCGGTTCAGCAAACCTGGGAATGTGTGCTATACTATACTTGGCTGTACAATCATTTGCTGTTTAGTATGCTTATTTATATTTCCTTGTTACAGCGTTACTAAAGCTTCTGCATGTACAGTTCAGAATTCTATTTGCACGACACTTACAACTGTTTACACACTCCTAGTAATCGGATTTGTACCACCAATCTTCGTTACAATATTTGCTTGGCTCACTGTACATAATTAACGTATCATACATTATCGATCTCGATCAGCACCGATTTCCTACAAAACTTATCTACGTATCAAAGATGCAAATGAACAGTCCACATCAATGCTCTTCATGCAAATAGGTACCATTTTAATTAGTAGTGTACCCTATGGATCGCTTATGATCTATCAGTTAAGTACTCGTCATACAAAACAAAACTCCCGTGCGAATAGCATGGGAACAGCTGATCTCACAATCAATTCATTTACTTATTTACCTCAACTATGTATCTTTTGCCTACATTTACTTGGGTACCTCGCCGATGTATAGACAACATTTAATATCAAGAAAAACCAGTTTAGCGTACGAATTAGAATAGGACATGAGTTTATCAGCAGTATCTTCCCATCACTAAGTCGAGCGGAAGATGGAAAGAAAGTTCCTTTAATGTCAATTAATATCTCCGAAGTCACCGAACAAAAACAATAACATCATCATCTTACCGTTGTATCGTTGCATATGACACGACATAGCAAGAATTGTTCAACAGCGATTTCTTCATAACCAGTGTGCTACAAGCCGATACTGTACAGCTTCAAGTGAAACTATCGCGATAAAAAATTAACGTATGAAATAGTGTAGATAATGTCCTCATATTTATCGACTTAAAACATAGACGAAGGAATTTATTGATAATTACAAGTCTTTTTTTGTTTCGTGTTTGATATTTTATCAATACTTAAAATCTTATTTAAACAGAAGTGTAAAGTATAACAATTATTAGTATGATTATTTACAATTGAAAATGTCAACAATAGAAGAGAAAATTATTTCAGGATATAGTCCTATATAGATGAAATTATAAAGAACCATTTATACTTGTACATTACACTTTAGTCCTTCTCTTCTCTACAAAAATACGAAAATAAATCTATTTATTTTATTCATATTTCTAGTTTAATTTGTATAGAACTGTTCGATTGTTTGTCAAAATGTAATTATTCACTCATACAACATGCTCAATAGATATTCAATATTCGTATCGAAACACTCATCAAATTAGTTATTAAACGACACATGATTGTTTTGTGGTAATAATAAACTGATACTAAAATTATATTAGCATCATAACAATACAACACTTGACAATAGAGAAGCCAACAGATGATAAAGTCATAATGCAAGGTCTTTCGTGCTTA